TCGTTTGACTGGCCTGGAAAAGTATACGCAATATGCCGTCACAGTCTCGGCTTTTAATGTCAAAGGTGATGGACCACCAAGTGAAGTTGCTTTAGGTCATACCCTAGAAGATGCTCCCTCTGCTCCTCCACAGGGTGTAACTTGTATTGCTTTAACCGCGCAGAATATACAGATTTCATGGCAATCTCCACCAAAAGAAAACCATCATGGTGTCATTCAGGGTTATAAGGTTCTATACGAACCGGGTAATTTTGATTCAGAATATGGCAGCAGAGAAACTAAAATCACCTCAGCTTTGAGTACAGTTTTACACGGTCTACAACCGTTTACAAATTATAGTGTACAGGTTCTGGCTTTTACTAGAGCTGGCGAAGGAGTTGTAAGTTCAACAGTTTCATGTACAACTGAAGAAGCTGTGCCAGATGCTCCTGAACGTGTTAAATCGGTAGTAAACTCAGAGTCATCGGTCATTATTAGTTGGCTACCGCCACGTAGACCCAATGGTATTGTTACCAAATATAATGTTTATATACGAATTTTAGACAAAGGCCAGGAATTGAAAATACTTAAAGAAGTTTTACCAGCACAAAATAGGCATTTTGAAGCGAAAGATTTGTCAACACGTGAAACTTACGAAGCCTGGGTTACGGCATCTACAAGAGTGGGTCAAGGACCTAGTACACCTGTTATTAAACTTATTCCCAGTTCATCAGTACCGGCTGCTATAATTTCATTTAGTCAAACATTAAGTGTAAGTTGGAGAGTGGATATGAAATTGCCATGTCTTTTTGTGGGATCGCCAAAACCCAATGCCGAATGGAAAGTTTTAAATGCACGTTCTAAAAAGCATTTTCGCCTAGAAGTAAGCAATGACAATACACTAACACTTAGAAGCATACAACGATCCCACGAGGGTAACTATTCATGTGTGGTACGCAATGCCATTGGTTCCGATCACATTGTTTACCAGTTATTTGTTCAAGGTAATAATTTAATTTTTACATATTTTCGTAATAAAACTAAAAATTATTTACATTTTTTAGTTCCACCTTCGGCACCTGTTGTTTCGGTTATAGGTACAACAGCAAACTCGGTTTCATTGCAATGGAGAGTAGATGATATTGGTGGAGCCCCATTACGTGGTTTCACTTTAACTTTCCGCAAAGAATTTGGAGATTGGGAAGAAATTCAATTAGATAGACGAGTAAATTCCCATCTTCTAGAAGATCTTCAATGTGGAACGAGTTATCAATTCACAATCGTGACTTTTAATAAAATAGGAACAAGTGCAACCAGTCCAATAGAAATAGCTAAAACTCAAGGTAAGCGATTTTAGACTATACATTTAAACAAATAACTTATTGTAATTTTTCCTTACAGGAAATAAACCAAATGCTCCCAACAAACACAGTCTCATACGAGCTAACATTACTTCAGCTCTAATAGAATTATCCTCATGGCAAGACGGAGGTTGCCCCATCCAATATTTTAGTATTGAATTCAAACGTTATGGTATTGCAAGTGACTGGATAATCGTATCTAGTCGTATCGAATCTCACGTAAGTTTTCTTCATTTCAACAGCCAATTCTATACCAAATCTGAGTAGTTGAACATCATGTAAATTAATAGTTTCATTCACATTCGCACACCAAGCGGCTTCATTACACCCTTTGGCAATCCATAGAAATGGTTTTTAATGATATCTAAATAAATGTGTTGTAAGATAAATGTCTCTACTCTTAAACGAACTTATACATGTTTTGGATTATTGTCTTAAACACTTTAATCGTTATTTTGAAAGACATTTATTTTTCAACAACATATTTAAGATTATTTCCAATCGAATGAATATGTTTCTTTTACACTTACCTTAGACTCGATATACAATTGGAGACTTGGAAGCTGGAACTCTGTACAATTTGCGAGTGACGGCGCACAATAATGCAGGGTCCACCGTTAAGGAATACACCTTTGAAACATTGCGTTTTAGTGGAATGTCAGGCGAACTTGATCAGAGTGATTTACCAGAAGTGAACTCATTGTTCCGAGATGCCCATTTAATAGCCGTGATTATAACTTCGGTATTTGGCACAATATTGGCTCTGATCGGGGCCTGCATATGTTTCAAAAACTGTAAGTTATACAGTCTCATAGAAAAGGACAAAAATAATAATGTTTTGATCTTGTTTAGATCCTCGACATATCTTTTCACGTAACGTGGACACTATGAGGCTTCCTGGCAGCGAGGGAAAGGACCTACAACACCGTGAGCAATATTATGGTACGATGCGCAAATCGTGTCAGCAATCACCGGGAGATTCGGTTGTTGCACTTGAGCGCATACCTGAATACTCTGAAGATATATATCCTTACGCTACATTCCATTTACCAGAACACGAAAACCAATCGGCCAACATACCACTCAACCGTAAGGGCATGCAACCTATGTACGATCCACGCAGCGGTGACGACAACACCCTCTCTAGTGCGGGGATGAAAGTGAAGAGATCTGTATCGGGTAGCGGCAATATATCAATGGGTGGTGGAGAATGCAGCCACACAAATACGGAGAAGAGACACAAGCGCCGTTCCAAAGCTATAAAATCGGAATCAGAAGAATATGACAGTTTGAATAGTGACAGTGATTTAAGTGGCGAACGCATTCGAGACGATAACCGTAGTACGAGAACTGATGCTTCAAGTCAGCTAGAAAATTCCGGATATAACAGTACGTAGTACAACTAATCTGACGTTTATTCATTAACCCAATTTTGAATTTGTATATTTTTTAAAGTTCATGGCCACAGTCCGCGAAGTAGCGGCAGTAACAAAGAACGCCTGTCGGTATTTAGCAGGCCTCAACTTCATAGTAAGTTAGTACCTATTTTAATTATTCAAACTGTACAAACTGAAAATATCAGTACAAATAGTCATAAAAATCCCCGCTGTGTAACCCTTACATCCTCTTAATTGCCATTATTAACCATTCACATCGCTTTTGCGATCTATATATTGAAGATACCTACATAAATAACACTTGCATTGCAACGCATTTTTGAAAACCTTTAACAGTCATTTTTATAATCCATCCACTACTAACCACACCTAACCCAATGTAATATCTAAATTTTCCCCTAACATTTAGAAAACATTTTACCGAACCGCCTGAAAGATTCCACGAACGAGAGCTTACGCACTTCTAATGGACCTGCACCAGAATCGGCCAATGAAACCGTTTTCAAAAATTCCAAGCGACCTTCATTTAAATCGCCTAAATCCCTTTTTCAAATAATTAAACCCACAAAAATTTTAACCAATACGACACACACAATCAATCCTCCCACAGCATGTCCCACAAATATAAATTTAAATCGTTCTACCGAAAATCTTTCCCAACCAAAAGTACGCATCCAACCCAAACCTCCACATCAATTTGTACATTTAATACAACGTCCCATGTCCGAGAACATAAATGCACAAAATCAGCAACCGCCTCGACCACCATCACCTTCACCCTCATATCGTTTTGCATCGTCTTCCAAGCATGAAAATCTAGCAGCCACTGCTACCACTCAACCACAGCCTCATCATCAAAAAACGACTAATAATTCTCGCAGTAGTCCCAGTGCTTTGATCATATTGAAGTCATCTGGTAGCGGCAGTGGTAGTAGTGATAGTGTTGGATATCACAAGAGCTCCTTATCCAATAGGCAAGCTATCATTATTAGTTAGTTGGTTCTCATTATAACAATTAATTATCAAATGTCATTTATTATTTATTATTAAGTGTTGCACTATAAACGTATTTTATGTGTTTTTGTGGTAGCTAAATTTAATTAATACTTTCTTATTTTTGGCCCAATATCTCAAGCTCCGGTTATCGTTTAACCAGTTAAATTAATTTTGGTATGAAATCTTTACGATAAAATATAACCAGACATTGAGATAATGGGGATTAATTTTTTTATTTAAAGTTGTTCTAAAAGGCAATTGAGATTAAAATTTAAGACACTTGGGAACAATTTAACACCAAAGTTCAAACATTCGAAAAAACACTATCTATATGAATTATGCTCTATATAATTAGAGGAATAACAGAAATAAAACAAAAAATTCTATATTAAGTATACAAAGTTATACTTTAACCCTTTTTGACTATGGAGTTAACTTGAGGTGAACATTTTTAAAAGAAACATTTTGGTTTTGAAACTAATAATTTATGTCTAAAAATACAAACTTTATGTGGTCAAAAATTGTTAATTCATAAGCTTTTATACCTAATATATAATTTTTTGTATTATTTTTGTTATTCCTCTAATTATATAGAGCATTATTCAAATTGATAGTGTTTTAACGATTTTTTGAACTTCGGGGTAAAATTTGTCCCATGTATTTTAAAGGGTTAATTTTACTTTTATAGCTGTTATTTTAAACATAAGACTTAATTACTAAAAATTGCAGTCATATTTATGAAATATGGCCAACAAATAAATAATATTTCGACATGGTATACTGAGAATTCACTAATTTTGCAAAATTTGACCTTGGACCCCACATTTTATGGGTTAAAAACGTCCGATTTGAATAAAATTTGGAATATATATTTTATATTATCTGGTCTTAAATACACTGCAAATATTTTGTTTAAAATGTGCAACAGTAAAGAATGAATACGTATTCTCTAAAATTATACAAAAAACTGCGATTTTCCCGAAATCCGCAGAGTTCAAATCGCAGGTACAGCTAAACTGTAAGAAATATTGATCTAACTTTTTTACCGTTTAATAGCCTTATCTATTGACCATAAATCCCCATGAGATCTAATAAAAATTTTTAAATTTGTTTAACAAAGTTTCAAAAATAATGAATTTGGAGATTTGAAACGGCCGTTGAAAAAATTAAACTTTTTTGACCATAGCTGAGAACGAGTTAGCGTTATCTTATAAGGACAAAAACTAATATTCAAGTAATTCTAGATATATATTTTAAGTAACAAAATGTTTTTTTTTTTTTTTTTTTGAATATATCCCAAAAAAAGTAATTTTTTTGTCACATTCCGAATTCATGTGCTGTGACACACGTTAATGGCCTGGGAAATTTGTAATAACTTTAAAAAATTTCCAACCAATTTTTGTTATTTATATCTTTCTGAAATGCTTATTATATGCACATTGCGATTCCTTTACAATAAAGTGCGAAGTTTATTACTAAGTTGCAAAATTTGAACAAAAACTGAAAAAATCGATGTTTTGCCCTTGTAAATGCACTTGGAAACTTCAGAGCCGTTGCGGAACCTGTTAATGTTATTCTATCAGCCTAATTTTTTGCATGACATAGTTTTACAAGCCAACAATTCCAGAGGGGGGGACGGCCTGTCGGATAATTTTTTTTTGTTCAAACAAGCTTGGAGCACTCTAATGTACATACATACTAGATGTAAATATATAAATACTTTATAGGGTCGGAAAATTATATTGTGGAAATTTAAAAGGGAATGATGACAAACTTATAATGTATACACCTTTCTCACGAAGGTGAAAATTTGTGTAAAACTTAGTGAATTTTTGGCATGCTTACTATAATCCGATTAGCTTAAAGTTTTATCTCTCTTATTTGCATTATTTTTTCTTATTGTTTTTAAATGATCTTTTATATTAATTTATATTCAGTTTCATTTTAATAAGTGTTATAATATCTTCAGCATGAGTAGTAAAAATTCACTACTAACAACTTAATAATTTATTAAATTAGATAAATATTTCTGCAAACATATGTATTAGAGTATCTTGACCAGTATTTATTCCAAATACTTACATATATAAATGTTATAAAAATTCACTCCCCAGCTAAAAAATATTATGGAGACATATATGAATCATATATCCGAATATTAGCGGAATTGGGCATAATTTTTATATATTTCATCATAGGTTTTCTAGTCTGTCGTGGAGTGCATAACAGGCCTCTTTTAATACTAACTAACTAACTAACTAACTAACTAACTAAACAAAATTCAATAGGGCGTAACAACAACCCCAATTTTTTATCTTCTGTAACCCCTTCCAGATTTGCATTTTCTAAAAAAATAATTCAATTAATAATATTAAATCAATATATTCACTAGTCCAAAAATACGAGTAGGTAAAATCATATCTAAAAATTAGTTTTGGTCGATACACTCTAATGCATATTATTTATATTTTATTTATTTGCAAATTAATACTATTTTCATCATCTATATATAATTTCTTTAATTTTCCATACCAATCACGAACATAAATACATAAATACACAAAATACAGCAGCATGGACGCGGTGCCGCTCGACTACAGGATCTTTGACCCGCCACCCAAGCAACGTAAACAGCAACAACAGCAATCAGTTAACAAAACACAGTCACCCAAACATCATGAGCGAAAACCCTCAGACGAATGTGCCAAAAATTCAACCAACCATACAAATTTGTCCGGCAGTATATCCAGCAAAATACGACCAAAAACTACCGATAATAGTTCCAACAGCGGCAACAATCTCTCCGGTGAATTCCAATGTTCACCTAACGGCATCCCCTCCCCGCATATTGTCCAGTCGGGCTCCTATGTTGAAATACTAAAACAAACCGGTAATCAGGCGGCTGCACAAGCCACTTCAGCTGCATCCCAGCATGAACGTTTAATGAGCCATGTCAAAAATCCTCTCAATTCAGCAGCATCTCTGGCATGTCATAACAAAAGCTATGGCGATTTTCTAACTATAACACCTAGACGCAAGGAAAAACTTTTGGGCGGTGATGGTAAATCAGGTGTAGTCGGTGAGGGTCATGACAATTATCGTCATCATTTACCACACAGTATTGAGCCACTCCATCTACTGGGCATACCAAATGACAATATGTCAACATTCTTTGATTACCGAGCTATGGAGACACTAAGCAATGCCGATACCCTGGCCATTGGTTCAACCATGTCGGGCCATTTATACCCTTCCAAACTTACCAACAACAAACAGCAGTATGATGCCGCCAAAACACAAACATCAGTAACAGCACAAGTACCCGACGAATATCATCACATTATCAGTGAGAAAAACTTGAGCCCTCCTTCGGCATTTTGTGATAACATATCATCGATGAATAAGGCTTAAAAATAGGACCTCTTTTGAAACCAAATAATATAGACCAATCAATTCTTTATTATGTTTGGTATTATTATTTATTAATTCTCAACATATCGTAATAATTTTTGCATTTAACTTGAAGCGTACTGATTCCAGCATATCCGCTTTTTGACTTACATATAAAAGAAACTTTTTTGTAAAAAAACATCGAAATTTTTTGATTAAGAAATTCCCGGAAAATACATAAACTGTTAAGTATTAAAAAGAACTAACAAACAAATGCATTTAAATGAAAAAAATTTAAAATTCGGATTCAAACAAATTAGTTAATTCGAACGATAAATATTTTAGCGTAAGAAAATAATTTCAATTAATCAAGTAATCAAATTCAATTAACAAAATAATTATGTCTGTTAAATAAATACATGTTCTTGACTGATGATACAATGAACAATTTTTTTATTTAATTTTTTTAAACTAAAGACTTTTTGTAAATAAAATTAAAAAACGAATTTTAGGATAAATAATATACACAGAAATACAAACACAGAAATCTACATACAACATATACAACAATTAGTAATTAAACTTAAATAAAATGAGATTAAATAAATGTTAAACGATCAATCAATTGCGTTATTTGTTTGTTAATTCAATTATTATCATACATTACAATTAATTAGTGAAAAAATATAATTAGAAAATTACTGCCAGTATGGTGGTCGTAATTAATATTTGAATTGAAACATGTGTCAATAATTAAGAAATTACATACAAATACAATTAAAAAATTCATACTAATACTATGTAATATTAATAATAATAATAAAAAAATGCTAAATTAGATTCAAACCCTTAATATAAATATTTAAACATTTTTAATGAATGTTTAAAATATCAATTCTCCAAAATCTGTCAATTTTTTTACCAAATGAATGAGAAACAAAATCGAAAATTTGTCAATCCAGTTATACAGAGAAAGAATGTGAAAATAATTAAATCAATTATTGTTTTAATAGATTTGATCAATCAAATTTAAATAATTAAATACATACATATACTTGTGAATTTCTTAGTTAAGATTATATTTAGATTAAATAAGTGACTAAATTATTGAGGTAACAGGCGCATTCAATATGAATTTGTATGAATATCAAAGTGTTGTTATTTGATAAGAACTCTAGATTTTAAATCATTTAATCAATTATTTATGTATGTATTTGTATGTGCTAAAATAACAATTGAAACGAAACAAAATTAAGAACAAACCAAATAAATACAATAAATTATAATTAAACAAATAAATTATAAGATTAATTAAATACGTTGTTTTATTTTAGATATTTATTTACATTAAAGTCTTAAATTCTTATATTAAGGTATTATTTTACTTAATTTAAATCAAAAACATACAGCTTCATTATTTTTTATACTCTCCACCACCATCAGCGGTGATAGAGGGTATATATAAGTTTGTCATTCCGTGTGTAACACCAAGTATATATATTCTAGATCCTTATGAAATTCTGAGTCGCTGTGAAGCTGTGTCCGTCTGTCTGCCTCAAACACTCTCACGTTAAAACTAAGCAAAATAATTCAGCCAAATTTACCGAAAATATTCACTATTGTCCTAAGCAGTTTGGTATTGAAAATCAGCCAAATCGGTCCACAACGTTATGTTATGAGTAAAAATTTCAGACTACCTCGAAAAAATTAAGTGTTTTTCCTAATTCTTGATATCTGTATCACCACGAAATTTTGCACATATGTATATAATAAGTACAGAAATAGTATTAACAACGTAGATCTGTATATGTCGATTATTGGTCAAAGCTCCCATATATGGTCCACTTTCGAAAAATACTTAAATACAAATAACTAATTAAGAAATAAAGATATTGGAATAATATTCAACATAAATATGTTTTGTGTATACATATTTTTTTTCGGATTGGTCCATAATTGGGCATAGCTCCCATTTCCGATAACCACGTAATCGCACATATTACATAACAGAATGAAGATATCGGTATAAAATTCATCATGAATGGGTTTCAAGTAAGATTAAGAAATTAGAAATAAAGATATTTTAAAAAAGGCTATATAAAAAAGTTTTCTTCTGATCGTTCCATAATTGGTCATATCTGTCATATAAGATACACTACAGAAAATCGCATATTTCATTGATAAATAAAGATATCGGAATAAGTATATTTTGTGTATAAGTATAAGAAATCTTAAAAAAAATTAGGATCAATGCATAATTGGTCATAGTTCTAATATAAGGTCCATTAACATAAGTCACTTTTTCCAATATATTTCATTCAATTATAAATATATATGAATAAAATACGACATAGTGTGTTTGTTTTTATCGATAAATCATTCTGCGAAATTTTGTTCGGATTGGCTAATAATTGGCCATATCTCCATAAAGGGTATATATGATTTCTAAATGATAGCACCCTCATCACGGAAACACAATTTAAACTTTCACAATTTTTTAAATACGTATCTTGAAATATTTAGAAGGGTTTTCATAAAAAGTAGCTTACAGGTGGAGAGTATTTAAGATTCGGCATAGCCGAATATAGCAATCTGACTTATTTCTTATTAACTTTTTACGATATCCTTATTCGTAGTAAATATTAAAAAAGATAGTATTAAACTCTGATATTTAAATGTTTTTAAGCAATTTTAAACATAGTTCACGAATATGTCGTTTAAAATCCTGACAGAATATGTCAGATCTAACGTAAGGGAAATTTGTTTAAATATCTTTTAAATTTTGAAAATATCGCGAAAAGAAAAATGTGAAATCTCAAGGTTATTTCACTAAATGGTTATTTGAATAATAACCCAGGAAAATTAGGCAAAAAAAATGAGCAATCTGAGGAATTTCAGATAGCTAAATGAACATTGGCACATAGCTTCCCCTTAGCATAATTAGTAAGGAATTAAAAATCACCGAAAATATCTTGTGCGCTAAGCGAGATATTGGAGGTCAAAGATTACAAAAATTAGTTTTTGCCGAATATCTTACTTAATAATTTCGGACACATTTGTTTTCGAGCTATAGCGCATTATTTTTCCATTGCACTAATATTTTCAAATCTTAATATAGATTGTACTAATAACATATTTGTCATATTTTTACGTTATTCCGACTTTAAGCAGTTAATATATGCTTATACATCAGAAATACAAGCCGAGACGGCTCAAATCGGCGGCGGCTGGTCGCCGGTAATATTTTGCAAGCCGCGCCGCCGCCGACTTCTTTCGGCTAAGCTAAGCTGGCTTAAACGTAGCCGCTGATAAAGATTGGAATCGCACATGTATTTCTGAAAATAATTTCACCAATTTGAACGGAGTTGCCACTATTAAAATTCTTATGGCAAATTGAAAAGAATATTGTGCTAATATTAAAAGAGTGAAAACTTCTATACATTTACATTTTCTGCAGAAAAAACTTATATAGAGACAGGTTTCTATATAACAGACTATTATACAGAGATTTTTCAATATTATAAACACTTATAAGGTCAATTTCTGAAGAAAAAGTTAAATTGAGCCGACAATTTAGCCGCCGCCGTTATTTTCTATAATAAGCCGCCGTCGCCGACCTAAAATGGTTGTGCCGCCCCGCCGATCATTTTGAATCGGCTTGTATTTCTGTTATACATTCTTACACGTTTAACTTAAATTCGCTATATGGCCCCTAGTGCAATGTCTGTCTATCCATAATTTGGGATAGTATCACAGGTCATATTTATAATAAGAATTAGAAAAAAATTGGTGGTCACAAGCCACATATTTAGAGTAATATTTCCAGAAAATCTTATTAAAATCAGACTTTATCTTTAAATATTTTGTAACAATTTTTGAATTTTCAAAAGAGTAAAAACACTGTGACTTTCATTATTATTAGAAACAAATTAAAGTCGGTTTTCTATAGTAGAGCTAGTTGCAGTCGTTGTCTGATTTCAATGAAATCTGGTGGAAATATATTCCTGACTTTGTAGATTATGTTCACTAATTTTTTTCAAATTATATTCATAATTTTGACCTGTGACCTCAATTCAATTAATTATGTAATTTTGGCTAATATTAGAAAGAAACAAGTAAGAAGTTATAGTCGGGCGAGGCCGACCATATAATACCCTACACCTGTATACGAATAAAATGTAATTCAGTTTTCATAATAAAGCATTTATGTTGAATTGTATCTTGCCTCAGATATACATAAGATATTTATTGTTTAATAAAACTAATCATAAAGTTCATCAGGGTCATCAAGGCTATTATAGAACTTGGTTTTGCAGCTTTTTGTCGAGATACGAGTATATCTATATATATAAAAATGAAAGTGTGTTTGTATGTATGTATGTATGTATGTATGTATGTATGTATGTATGTATGTATGTATGTATGTATGTATGTATGTATGTATGTATGTATGTATGTATGTATGTATGTATGTATGTATGTATGTATGTATGTATGTATGTATGTATGTATGTATGTATGTATGTATGTATGTATGTATGTATGTATGTATGTATGTATGTATGTATGTTTGTTTGTTTGTTTGTTTGTTTGTGCTTTATAGACTGCTAAACGGCTGGACCGATTTTCCTAAAATTTTCACAGTTTCTTCCTGTATGTCTGGAAGGAACCATAGGCTATTTTTTATGTTGAAATTTCAAGTGGGCGACGTGCCACGCCCATATTAAGAAAATATTAAATTAGTATATCTGAGATAATACAATAGTTAGGGTCTTCAAATTTTGTCGGAGCAACTTTAGTATCAATATAATTATTTAAGACAAAAAGTAGGCGGATTAGCATTAGGGGCGTGGCACCTCCCATATAAATTAAATACAAAAATTCGTTTATCTTGGAAACTATTACAGTTAGAATATTAAAAATTTTGCAAGAGTAACTTTAATATCCATTTAAACATTTTGGGAAATAAATTGGCGGACTACCCATGAGGGGAGCAGCACCTCCCATATTAATAAAATACAAAAATTGGTTTATCTGGGAAACTAATAGAACTAAATTCTTAAAATTTTGCACTAAGAACTTAAATATTCATCTGAACATTTTGGAGAAAAAAGAGCGGACTTTCGTCATGGGGGCATGGAGCCCCCATATAAATTAAATAGGAAAATTATTATATCTGAGAAACTATTAGAGCTAGAATATTCAAATTTTAATTGAAGAACTTTGACATTCATGTGAACATTCAGAGAATAACGGGCGGACTTTCAATGGGGGGTTTGGCACCTCACATATGAATTAAATACAAAATTTCGCTTATCTGGGAAACTAATAGAACAAGATTCTTCAAATATTGCGAGAAGAACTTTATTATACATATGAACATTTTGGAGAAAAAAAGGGCGGACTTTCATCTGGGGGCTGTGAGTTCCCATATGAATTAAATAGAAAAATTCGTATATCTGAGAAACTATTAGAGCTAGAATCTTCAAATTCTACATGAAGATCTTTGACATTAATGTGAACATTTAGAGAATACAAAATTTCGTATATCTGGGAAAATATTAGATTTTTTTTTTTAATTTGTCATCGATTACGTTAAAATCTTAATGAACGTTCGGAAAAAATGTATCTCTGGAAAACATTACAGTTAGAATCTTCAAAATTATTAAGAAGATTTTTTATTTATATTGCTTTTAGGGTAGCAAAGCACACTTGGTATAGCTAGTTCTTTAATAAAATTAAGATGAAGACTAAAAATGAAAACGGAATGGACCGAAATATAAATAAAGTTTCTTTTGCTCCTAGTTGGACAAATATGATGGGGAATATGGTGGAAAGAACAAACAAAATCAGGATTTCAAATAGTCTAATTGAAAGTTATTTCAATATAACTAAAAATGTCACATTAAAAGGAAAACGGTTTGTAAGGCCCAGCTATTATGTATGAAAATCTAAAATGTATATCCAAGCAAAAATTAAGGACATACGAAACAATTTGGCATATATAGTTAAAGATAAAGAAGAACGAATCTTTAATAGAAGATCAATGGAGATCCACACCAAAATGGAAGTGGAAAAGGACATCAAAAACTTTGACCATGATAGTCCACCTGAAGAAGTAAAACAGTGCCTCGATTCTGTAACACACTCATCGCGAAATTTCTCGCATGAAACAGTTAAATGGAAGAAAAAACAATGTGAATTGAAACATTTCTCACATGCTAGTATTTCTGTAATTACAATTTGTAAGAACTATCTGTCA